ATTTGTTAGGATCCATTAGCTCAGTGATCCATGATAAAATCTTGACTTGTTGTTATGGAGGCTTTTAGTCGCTGTAAGACATTTGTTGGGTACTCCGAACTTTTTCATAATTGCCTAAAGTGCATCTCTGTACACAGAGTCAAAGGCTTTTGTTAGGTCGATGAATGCAACATAAAGTTTACTAATGTAAATGATGATGATTATGTAAATGATGATGATGATTAGGGAAATATGTGTCAAGAGTATCTGCCTAGGTAATTGTATTGCCATATCTGCTACCTCTGCATTTATAATTGTTAAATTTAATTTTAATAATAGTTCTTTATTGTTTTAATACAAAAGCCAAAGCAATAAAGCTCTAAGTCTCTATTATCTTTTGTATTACAAACCAGGTCTCTTTGGGATGAATGGACGCCTTTTTTAAATGTTATTATTTTAGTTACTACGCTTTATATCAAATATATTATTGTGCATATCAATCATTTTAATTGATTTCTTAAAAATTATTTACCACGTTCACGGATGAAATTATCACGGCGCAGTCAGTAGGATATACTAAGCAAATTAACAAAAATTTTAGTTAGTCTGTCTTATTTGTGTAATTGTGTAAAACCAGTTAAATCGTTATAAAATTATAGTATCAAATTACCTGGTATACAAATAAAATATATTTGTATCTTCAAGCAAATTATTTTCTCTTTCGTTAAATTTGAATTTTAGTCTAGTACATTTCAACCTTTTTTACGTCTACACTAACACAAGTGGCATGAATTATATTGTTATTCTTAACACCCTCAACAATCCCTAGATTCTATTCTGTTATGTATGACCATTGCCTTACTTTGCACAAAATGTGGCAATCGAATTTATTGTTCTCTTACTAAAGAGTGTTCGTCTTCTTCTCCTGCCCGATAAAACCTTCAACTAGCCTCTTTAAATTAACGATTTACTAGAGGTATATCGATTTTTCTGTCGGAGTTTCCATCTATATCTTCCAACTTTAAACTGAAGGAAAGTTAATTTTATTTTTAGAATTTTAAATTTGAATTAAATAAAAGATGTAAACGTGGTATGTATCCGTATATCATTGATCTCTATAGTTTTTCTAGCACAAAACCCTTGACAGTGATAGATGTGTCTGTTGTTTTAATTTCAAAGTAGTTTATTTTATTCTAATAAGAAATAAGTTGGTACAACTGGAACACATAGCAGGAAATATTTAAAATTTTAGTAACAAGTGAAAAAAACTGTATAAAACTGAAAAAATATAATCGAGTTATGCCATTTCAAAACAAAATTACGGTATGTGTTAATAAAAAACAAACAAGGGTATATTTTAAACAAAACACTGCATACCAAAAAAAAATATAAAAAATAACTATTTCTTACTTTCAAGCTTCAAGAAACTTCCTGCCTTTATTATTATATTTCTCAATATTGAATTCCGCTACAATCTTGTGAGTTTAATTTAAATTTTATTTACTCAAACGTGATAATTGTGAAAAAGTGGTATGAAAAACTTAAAAAGCTGTGTGAACTGTGAAATGCAAAAACCATCGTAGATCGTGGTATAACGTCGATTTCCAATGTTGCACAGGTATTTCATACATGTCCTTATATAAAATAAAGTTTCTTAAATGCAACAGACCGTATTTTATTTAAAAAAATTAAAAGAAAATAATAAATTTGAATAAATAATATTTGGCGACATAGTTCCGGAAAAAGTCGAACTGTTCCGAAATTATTAAAAGCTCTGGAGAGCAACCGTTGTAAGAATAGCGCCAAATAGTATTTACAGTGCGTCTATCCGTTCTGTAGCTACGGGGCATCCATGAGGGGGGAAACGATATTCTCTCACGCTGTTTCTTGTATAAAATTATACAACGCCTCCCATCAATAAAAATTCGCTATTTACAAGTAGCCAATGAAATGAGTGGGCGGAGTGTTTTGCAGCGAAATACTCGTCAAGTTCACGTTGACCCTTTCCCCCTTCTATTTAGGTAGCGATTTATAAAATATATTGCTGTTATGCTGTTTGTTTAAATGTTTTTGTCTACATTCCTTTCATAGACACAGATCCAGTAGACGTTTTTTACATTGTACTTATGGCACTTTCCAATTTCGACCTGTTTCTTTTATCTATGATCTTACCTGAGAAAAAAAAGCAGAGCATCAACCTAATTCATTTAGAATATGTTTAATTGAAGATTCCGTGCATCTTTTAATAATATCCTGCCGAATCAGTCTAAATTTTATCTAGACGAACCTGTAACGGCAAGAAAGGAAAAGAAGCGACGTTTGCGCCATAAATTCGTGCTGAAACGAACGGCTGAATATCCTAGTAATGGGCGCCATTTAATTTACCATAATTGCCATCGTTAAAAGGCTGTAAAGTACACATTCGGTTAATAGGGTTGTAGGAAACTCTGGATACGCCCGGATGACGTATCGCGAAAATTTCTTGATGGATATCGGGAATTTTCCTCGACCAATTTAACCGGTTCTGACACGAAACGGATGGTCTCGCTCGTTTATTACTTGGCGCAGCCGATAATGGTCGTCTGGCCCCATTAAATTGGAGAAATGAAATTAAAGGAGACTCCGGTATCGATTACACACAGTTGAATTTTTGTAATTGGTTATGGTTGTCTAATGTAATGTGCTAGAATTTCTCTTAATTAGTAATAAAAACGTATATAAAGAAATAAAAACGTTATTAAAAAGTAAATGATTTTGAAAGGAAATGCGTAATGAAAATCTGTTTCCACATTTCAAACAACTTACCTCTGAACTTAGTACATAAAAATAATATAATATGGTATATTCAAATTTTCCGCCAGGTTTAGTTCATTCCTAGCACACTAGTAGTGTAAGTGGTGCGACTTTTAAATTTGAACTAAAATATACACGGGAGTTAGCATCCTTTTTTAGTATGTTCTGTGGTCACTTGGGACTGCCCTACAAGTACAACTTTTATTTCAGTTGGCTGTAACTGAATCTGTGACCCTATCAAGGCACTGAGAATATTTGATTTCGATGTAATTCAAAAATTAATGAGAGTATGTACTCTAGTATGCGAAATATGGGACGATATGAGTTCTACCTCTGTTCAGTGTTCTCTGATATTAATGTATAGAAATATACAGGGTGGCCCATCGAAAACGTTCCGCAAGGCATAACGGCCAGGGTATTTCTTTTTTCAAAAAATCCAAAAACACGTCACATTTGTTTGTGAGGGGGACAACTTTTTCCCCAAAAATGATTGCAAAATCTTCAACCCTCTGAGCGGGGGTGTCATCCCCCAACTTTTTTCAAATGGGAAGGGGGTCAAGTGGCACCGCAATGAAAAGAGCTTTCTATTTTCTATATTTCCCTGCCTCGTTTTTGAAAATCGGTCGAGTCATTGAGAAAATATGAAGGATTGAAATTTGAAAAGTTTATTTAAACATCTATCAGAATAAATGATAAGGATAAATTCCTCTTCGACCCCATTTGCTATTTTTTTCTTATTATTTCTAAATGTTTACGCATTTCTTCACTTGCCACAAGGTTGAACGATCAGGTGCGGTCTCAATATCGTTAAACTGACCTACAATAGAATTTCCAAAAATACCAGCCCGCGACGATCAAAATCGTCTTCGTTGAGTTCTTGTACCAACTGAATTTTGTACGGGTGGAACTTGTGTGTTTTTTTAATATCCTTTGGACACTTCTACGATTCACGCCGGTCTCATTGTGAGTACATCATAATTTTTAAAAAGTTTAACGATATTGAGAAGAACTTCAACGCACAAGTCACAGAACAGCTATCTAGCAACTACCGCACCTGATCGTTCAATATATCTATTCTTCTGGTTCAACCTTGTGGCAAGTGAAAACATGCGTAAACATCTAGAAATAATAAGAAAAAACAGCAAATTGGTCGAAGGAATTTATCCTTATCATTTACTCTGATAAATGTTTAAATAAACTTTTCAAATTTCAATCCTTCATATTTTCTCAATGACTCGACCGATTTTCAAAAACGAAGTGAGGAAATATAGAAAATAGAAAGCTCTTTTCATTGCGGTGCCACTTGACCCCCCTTCCCATTTGAAAAAAGTTGGAGGATGACACCCCCGCTTAGAGTGTTGAAGATTTTGCAATCATTTTTGGGGTAAAAGTTGTCCCCCTTACAAACAAATGTGACGTGTTTTTGGAATTTTCTGAAAAAAAATTACCCTGGCCGTTATGCCTTGCGGAACGTTTTCGATGGGCCACCCTGTATATTTTATTCTGGTCTTGTATATTTACTATACAGGGTCGCTTTTATGTATGGAAACGGTCGATTATTAGGTAAAATACTGGAGGTACTGCGAAAAGTTTGAATTTAAATGAAAATTTTGTAATTTCCAGACTTGCTATACTCCCATTTTATACTGTAGTATATAAATATTATTACACCCTGTACATAATAGTTTAGATATAAGTATTTCTTAAGTTAAGTTAATTAAGGTCAGTTCATATTATATGTTTAGAATTAGTTGTTTATATAATATTAGGAATGCAACTATGCATTATTGGATGTCGTGCTTTGATGTGCCACGATTTTATGACCGACCCTGTATACTTAAATTTATTACCCGCCAATATATATATATAATAACAATATATATATATATATATATATATATATATATATATATAATATATAATATATAACTTTTAACCCCTATAACTTTTATATTTAACTTTTTGGGGTACCTCTTATATTTTACCTAATAATCGACCATTTCCATACATAAAAGCGACCCTGTATATATTTATATTATAATTGTTGTAAGATATAATAATAATATTATTATATTTTTATTTACGTGATTTTCTGGCAGTAGTTTAACTATAACTAACTAAAAACCGAAATACTATGATTACTTTATTGTTCTGTAAAAGTTTTACACCGTAAAGCACTTATTCTGTAAAGTTTTGGGCTCACTATCTAAATAGTTAATTTGTTTCAGTGGTGACATCTCGTGGCAAAGACATGGGACAGACAGTTTGGGATCTTCCCCGGGGTTACCTAGAAAAATTCCTACGCCTGAAGTTGCCCATACTGCTCCTGTAACAGTAAGTAAAAATGTATTTTATGGATTATTTTTTATAGATATTTTTAGTCATTTTTTATACAAAACGATAAAATGGTATTTTATCGTCGACCGAAAACATTAATTCAGGAGCGATGAAATCGCGAGTGAATTAATTTCGGGAGAAGATAATGCAATTTTATCGTCGTGTATAAAACAATATTTTTTCCATAGCGAGTTACGTTTTAAAAAATATTCAGAAATTATTATTTCAAGGAATTTATTACGAGAAGAAAAAATATTGTGCTGGGTTGGCGTTGGTTTCTATGTAATTTGAAATATAAATAAAGCTGTCTCTTTAGTTTTGAGTCAATATTTTTGAATTCTCTTTCGTGCTGCTGATTGAATTAGAGCTCGAAATGACTCAAAACGAAATAAGTAAATTACCAACAAATATTCAGGCTGAGGCGACAAACGCCATATCCAAACTACTTCCGAAATTTAAATCCCGAATAACTTATGAAAGGAAATACAAAAAATTTCAAAAATGGAAGCAATTAAAAAACATGCGAGAAGAAATATAGTTTTTAACCTATCCTCGCTGTTAAAGTATCATTTAATCTACCTGTTTGTTGGTAGTTTTTATTAATTAAAGATGTGGACTGTATATTTTGTTTACTATTTATTTTAATATAAATACAATAATAAATCTAGTAATTATGTGGAAGAAAAACTTAATTAGTCTAATCTCTTCAGACGACAGAGCTCATATATTCGGTCGTCTTCCCGGTCTTCCTCTCCGCGTGCCATATGGGGTTTAAGGCGCGGTTGTCAGATTTTAAATTAATATAAAGAAAAAGGAAAACTTGGAATTTTAGCAAAAGTTAAATATAACACTTAACATACACCCGCCTTGAAAGCTTCCTTTCAACAAAAATCAGAAGAATGCAAACTAAGTATAAGTAAGTAATTAAGTAGTATAAGATGTATAAGGTTAAGCTAAATAAATGTAACACACTATAACTATACTTAAATAAAAGGTATGAATAAAAATTAAATGTCTTTAGATTGAGTCTATTGGTAAAGCACACACTTTACGCACAGGGCGTTGAATTTCGCCGGCACATGTCTGGACATCTACCACTCGAACAATCCCGTCACTGCCTGGGTACAATCTGGTAATTCTCCCCAACTTCCACAACAAAGGGGGGACCTTCTCGTCGTGGATCAAAACTAAAGTTCCAACCTTTAGTACTTTTGTACTACTGTGCTTCCATTTGGTGCGGACTTATAGTTCTGATAAGTACTCCTTTCTCCATCGTTGCCAAAAACTTTGGACGATACTTTGTAGCCGTTGGTATTTGTTCATTCGAGTTTCAGAGATGTGACAAACATCTGGATATGGAAGTGACGTCAAAGCTTTGCCAATTAAAAAATGTCCAGGAGTGAGTGCATTTAAGTCGGTAGGATCGTGGGAAAGTGGAGTTAAAGGGCGAGAGTTTAGGATACTTTCGATCTGGATAATTATTGTATTGAATTCTTCAAAATTTAAAGAAGCGTTCCCGACTATACGTTTAAAATGAAATTTTGCACTCTTGATACCCGCCTCCCAGATGCCGCCAAAATTAGGGGATCGAGCAGGAATGAATTGCCATTTTATCATCTCCGATGAAAGAGCGTCCGCAATGATATCTTTATTGTTAGCCAGAAATTCGTATAGGTCTCTGATTTCACGCTTAGCGCCTACAAAGTTTGTAGCGTTATCCGACCATATACTAGCAGGTTTGCCGCGTCTCCCGATAAACCTCTTTAAAGATGCCAAAAACGCCCCAGTGGTTAAATCAGTGACCATTTCGAGATGGATGGCTTTGGTACAGAGACAAATAAACAAACATAGATATACCTTTATTTGTTTTGCGCCGCGAGTTAACCTATCTTTTATTAGAAATGGTCCGGCATAGTCAACTCCCACATTTGTAAATATCGACGTTTCATTAATCCTTACGTCAGGCAAATTGCCCATCAAATAATCGGAGTGCGACGGATTAACTTTAAAACAGAGAACACAATTCCGAATTACCTTTTTACAAGCATTTCTGCCAGCTATTGGCCAAAACCGTTCTCTCACAGAGGATAGGAGAGCTTGAACACCACAATGAAAAAGTCTTTTATGTTCTCCTTCTAAAATAAGTTCAGTTATTCTGTGAGACGCTGGGATAATAATTTGATGTTTTTTGTCAAAAGGATAATTTGAATGTTTGAGTCTCCCTCCAACACGAATTAATTTATTATGTATAAAGGGATTTAAATTTAAAATTTTACTCTTTTTCTTTAAAGGCTTGTTTTTTAATAAGTCAGAATATTCTTGAGAAAAGCATTCCTTTTGTACTTGTTTAAGTAGGAAATATAGAGAACTTTCGAGTTCTATAGGGGTTAATACTTTGGATTGTTTGGTTTTAGATCTGCAGTTATTATAAAATCGAAAAATATAGCTAAAAACTCGGATTATTTTTGTTAAAGATGAAAATCGATTTAATAAATTTTGAATAAAAATTAAACTTTCATTCTCGATGAGGACATGGGATAAAATTATTTTTTGTTCGGGTATTTCGGAATTAATACTGACTTCTTTTACGTCCCAGTTTGAATTATGCTGTTTAAGCCAGTCTGGTCCGTGCCACCAAAGGTCGGAATTTTCGATTATCTTGGGACTAGCGCCTCGCGATAATAAATCGGCAGGGTTTTCATGTGTTCTAACATGATACCATTCATTTATTTCGGTTAGAGCTTGAATTTCACTGACCCTGTTGGCAACGAACGTTTTCCACTTACCTGGCTCACCCTGTATCCAATTTAAGGTGACCATTGAATCGGTCCAAAAATATTTATTATTAAAACTAATTTTAAGTGATTCTTGAATTTTCCTTGCTAAGTGCGCTAAAGTGACTGCACTACATAATTCCAGTCTAGGAAGAGTTATCGTTTTAATTGGCGCTACGCGGGACTTTGCGCACAACAAATGCGAGATATACTCCCGTTCGGAGACTTCACAACGAATATAAAAACACCCGCCATAAGCTTTCTCACTGGAATCGCAAAACCCATGAAGTTCAAAACTTATGCATGTTGATATCACAGCTTGACGTGGTATTTTAAGATTATTAATTTCAGTTAATTCGTTTTGAAACCTGAGCCAATCTGTTTTAAAAGTTTGAGGCAGTTCTTCATCCCATTCAATTTTCATTTTCCATAGCTCTTGCATAATTTGGCAACTATAATAATCGGTTGTAATAAGCCTAGGGGATCATAGATTTGACAAATTACTGATAAGACTAATCTTTTGGTTATTGGTTTTCGGGTACTGAACTTGGAACTTGGAACAAAATATTGAATTAGATCAAGATTTGAATTCCAAATAATTCCTAATGTTTTTGTTTGATTCACCTTCATTTATTTTAAAACACCGACTGCCAAATTATTATCTATATCAAAACTATTTAAAAGCTGGGAATCATTACATAACCATTTCCGCAATGGAAATCCTGAATCGCCTAAATTTTGGAAACTTCAGTTTGGTTTTTAAAATTTCTTGTTTTGTATTAGCGCCTGTTAATAAATCGTCTACAAAAAAATCATTTTTTATTATATGGCTAGCCCCTTGAAATTTCTGCGCGTTTTCGTTTGCTAGATGAATTAAACAACGTATAGCTAGATATGGCGCCGCTGTGAACCCATAAACTACACGGTTAATTTTAAAACACTTTAATTCTTCCGACGCATCATTTCTCCAAAATATTTTTTGGTATTCGCAATCTGATTCTCTTACTTTAATTTGCCGATACATCTTTGAAATGTCCGCGGAAATCACATACCGATATTGCCGAAACCTTAATAATATTGAAAATATATCATTCTGAAGGACTGGCCCTGTAAATTGGACGTCGTTTAAACTTACTCCGGAATCTGTTTTTTGTGAAGCATTAAACACAACTCTACATTTTGTGGTCAAACTATTGTCTTTTATAACGGCGTGGTGCGGTAAATAGTAACTATTAGAGGGTATTTTAGGTTCAACATCTTGAATCGCCGTCATATGCCCCATATTTTCAAATTCGTTCATAAATTTTATATATTCATATTTCAAGGCTACATTTTTATCTAACCTACGTTCGAGAGAATATAAACGGCTGAGAGCAATATCACGTGACTTTCCCAGGGTCTCTAGTGACTTTTTGAATGGTATGCTAACTACAAACCTGCCTTCGCTATCACGCGTAACAGTATTTTCAAAATAATTTTCACAGTATTGTTCTTCTCGAGAAAAAATATTTTTAGGATTTACCTCTTCGATTTCCCAGAATTTACTAATTTTTGTCTCTAATAATCCTAATCCCACATTTAAGCACGATACGGACATATTTTCTTTTTTACCGTCCGGTGTATACATCATGTTTCCGCCTAACATCCAACCTAAACACGTGTTTTGTAGAATAGGCATATTTAAACCGAGTTGTTTTTGCTCTGGAAGAAGTATAGAATAAAATACAGGTATACCCAGTAATATGTCAATGTCACTTGAAATGTTGAATTTTGGATCTGCGAGACATAAATTTTGATTTAGAGGTATAATGTTTTTATTAAATGATTTTAATGGAAGCCTATCGGTTATGTTTTGCATCACTAGAAAATTTAAGTTTTGACTATAGTCATTTAGGCGCGACATAATCGTAATATTAACCCTCAATTCTTGTCCTGTCAGCCTGACCTACGCCCTTGACAACGTGGTTAATTTTTTGTAGGTTTCAAATTTAATTTTGACATAACGCATTAGACATAAAATTGCTCATAGAACCGCCGTCCAGAAGAGCGCGACATTGTTCAACCCTGTCGCCAATTTTTTATTTTTATTAGTGCCGTACTTAATAAAACTTGCGATACATCTGTAGAGGCGCCTGCAACCGTTGCGTTCCCCGCTTGTGTCGTTTCAGTGGTGCGCACGGTACCTTCTTCCGCGTCCCTCGCGCGCGTCTCCTCCGCGGCGAC